ACTTTGGAACTAATGGACTTCAACTCCCAGTATTCCTCAATCAGCCAAAAAAACAAAAACAAACCCACCACCTGATTTGAATTGAATTCAATTGAAAAGTTCACCTATTGAATTCTGGGAGTTGAAGTCCATTCATGCTGGCTAGAGAATTCTGGGAGTTGAAGTCCATTCATGCTGGCTAGAGAGTTCTGTGAGTTGAAGTCCATTCATGCTGGCTAGAGAATTCTGGGAGTTGAAGTCCATTCATGCTGACTAGAGAATTCTGGGAGTTGAAGTCCATTCATGCTGGCTAGAGAGTTCTGGGAGTTGATGTCCATTCATGCTGGCTAGAGAGTTCTGGGAGTTGAAGTCCATTCATGCCGGCTAGAGAATTCTGGGAGTTGAAGTCCATTCATGCTGGCTAGAGAGTTCTGGGAATTGAAGTCCATCATGCTGGCTAGAGAATTCTGGGTCTACCCCAGCTTGCTTGGGAATTCTGGGCTTTTGAAGTCCATTTAGTTTTGCTAGGGAATTCTGGGAGTTGAAGTCCACCGATACTGACTGTGGCATTCTGGGAATTAAAGTCCATGCATGCTGGCTAGGGAATTCTGGGATGAAAATGACCCTTCCAACTATGGTCAGAAGTCAAGGACTACCTGTAGTATTTTGGTCTCTGTTAGGAAACAAGCTAAGTCCATTTTGTGCCTGAATTCTTCCCAGCGATGGGTCTGTGCAAGACCAGAATCAACGGCCTGTCCGTCTCTACCCGGAAGTGCCAGAAGTGCTGCACCTGTTGGACAGCGAAGGGATCGCCATGGCAGCTGCCTCTCGGTAAATCGGGGCCTTGCTCTCTTAAGACTTTCCCCGCTAATACAGGCCACCCGTCCTTGCACCCACCACTGTGGTGAATTAACCACATACAAGTAGTCCTCAGCTTACAACGGTTTGTTTAGTGGCCGTTCGGAACTACAATGGCATTGAAATAAGTGCCTTGGGACCATTTTTCCACACTTAACGCCCTCTGTGGCCTTCCGACGCTTGGCAGCTTGACTCGTATTTATGATGGTCGCAGCATCGGGGGTCACGTAATCCCCTTTTGCCACCTTCCGACAGCGAAGTCAACGAGGAAGCTGGACTCACTTAACAACCGTGTGACTAACATATCCACGGCAGGGATTCACTTAATGATGATTGCAGGAAAGGTGGCAAAACAGGGCAGAACTCACTTAATAAAAGCTTCACTCTAACAGCGGCTCAGTTGTGGTCATAAGTCAAGGACTCCTAGGAATCCTAGCCCCTGGGTTATTTTTCTGGCTCACAGGGAGTCCTCCAGTTACAACTACTTCTTTAGCCGACCATTCGAAGTTACAGCTACACTGGAAAAACCCACTTAACTACTAGTCCCTCAGCTTAAAACCGTTGAAGCATCTGAACAGCCAGGTGATCAAAATTCGAGCGCCATCTTGTCACCAATTGGGACCCTCCCAGCCGACTTCTGTCAGACATCAATGGGGAAAGGAGTCGGATTCGTTTAACGACTTCATGATTCACTTAATGGCACTGATTCGCTTAACAACCTTGGCAAAAAAAAGAATCAAGTGGCAATTCTCTTAGCAACCCATAGCAATGGAAATTCCCGTCCCACTTGAGCTCTTTAGTCGAAGGCTACCTGTATTTTAAATTCCTGAAATCGCAGACGGTCGCTAGATAAATGCTGGCATGACGAGGCAAGCGTTTTAGAGCATGGGCAGAGAGCCGGTGAGGACATTTTGCAGCCCGCCAAAGAACGGGTATAAAATTGCAACAAAAAACAAGTGGAAAGCTGAAAATCTGGAAATCCGAACAGATGTTAAGATTTTAGGAGGCCAGGAAGAGTGTAAGACACACTCCAAGCGAATAGTATTTATTTATGTATTTCATTGGTATGAATTAAAAATGGGTCTTGCGGTGGCCTAGAGTGGAGCTCCCGCCTCACAATCAGGGGCCTGCGAGTTCAATCATAGGTAGAGGCAGATATTTCTTTCTCCCGGCACAATGAGAATATATTTGCTGAACTAAACTCCTTATTGGCAACAGGAGGGGCATCCGGACAGTAAACATTCAGTTCCATTCAGTTGGCTAGACTCCACCCTACAAGGGATTATGGGGTCATTAAAAGAAGATATTAATTATTGATATTAATTAAAAAATATATTTAAATACTTGGTGGCCTGTAAGTTAAAGTGCTGGCCAGAAGCTACAAAAAGCAAATGCCTGGGGAATTCTGGGAATTGAAGCCCCTGGGTCTTAAAATGGCCAAGGTTGTGGACTGTCTTACACCATCATTTGATAGGGCTCCCATTCAGATAACACACTATCCCGGCTTAGGACGATCTCAGCTAGTATTCGGAGAACAGCTTTCTGACAATCCCAGTTTGTTTGTTGAGGGGGCGTTTCTGTACCTGGTGGGGATTCAAAAAAAACAGGCTTCCTTTAGCAAACTGAGTTAAGCATGTTGTGTGAACGTACCCTATTTGGGATAAAAATTGGTCCCTGTTGTGGGATCTCATCTCAAGCGTCTGATCTTTCCCCGCTCAGGACAGGCGAGATCCAAGGAGCCAGGCAACTGTTAGATCTTTTCGGCTTAAATCTCTGCTACTTTCGCTACACTGAAATTTACCCTGGCAGTAAAACCACCCATTTCCAAAGGTAAAAAAAACAAAAACTTGGGAGTCTTTGTTTATCCCTGGATTTGGGAGAGGTGGAAGGGGAAGTGGGAACAGACTGATATCAAATCCAAAATCTTTCCAAGTCTTTCCAAAGACAATTATTTTAGCTATTCCTCCCTTAGATGATTCTATGCCTTTATACATTCCAGATTCCAAACACAGAAAGAATCCCTTGGAAGTTGAGTGGGAGCGATTGACTGGCCTGGGTGGTCGAGGGGAGGGGGGAGCTTGGGGAAGGCAGGAGGGTCTTTGTTGAAGACCTTGGACTGCCCCTTCTCAGAAATGGTGCAGAGTCTCCTGCCTAGGGTCTGGGGTTGGACTAGATGACCTGCAAGGTCCCTCCTTAATATGCTAATGAGGAGTGAAGCCGGTCCGCCTTCTGGGCGGAGAAAAAGAAACAAGTTAAAATCATTGGTCTAATTTCCTGGGGGGGGGGGTAATCTTTAGAGGTGGGAGCTGTTGGGCAGGCACCACACCTACCCCTTAACGGACTACATCGAGAGCCGTCGTGACTGCCTGAGGGCCCGGCCTCTTCATTCGACCCCCACTTAACCCCGGCGAGGAAGGGGGGCTCTGCAGAGATCAAAGCGGCTGAACAGAGGCTGGGCATCCCAGCTGCACCAGCGGCCATCACCATCACCGCAGAAAGGGGAGGAGAACCTGCCTTGGCCGCTCCAAGATGGCCACCCACGCCCGGCCAGCTCCAGACCCCCCAGCGAAAGAAGACTGGAGGTCGTACATGGGTCCCTTTCAATTCTTCAGGGAAGCCAATGACCTTCTGGCAGTATCGGACAAGAGGAGA